TATTTCTCTTTGATTATTTAAAACATTGAAAATTGATTTTCTATTATTTTATAAATACAAATGATAAAAATAAAATATCAAGAGAATCACAAAAATTCAAATAATTATTCTAAAAATCATATAACATAAAATTAATTAATTTTGATAAGAATCAGATCCATATAGCTTTAAGAATTATGAATATATTGGAGCACTCTACTTGCAATTGTCGACCACAATCTATACTAGCTTTCTCAAACTGACCCAACGGTTCTCATGACCCACACTCTGCTGCAAGGGTTCATGATTGAGCCACTAAAGTTAGCCAATAGTTTAGGGGGCGTAATCTTAGTTTATAGAATGTAGGTTCTCTCTTAGAGACAAATCCATGATTTGTCAGACTATGATACAATCAGGACTCTATGGTGTATAAGGGTAATTTTTCACATATATACATACTTCACCCTCAATGGTGAATTGCTATCTCGATATAGCTATCTATATATATGCTGTGTGATGGTACATGGATGACGCTATGACCCAATCTCTAAAGGCCAACCATCATACACAAGGGCCACAAAATCCATCTGTTCACTCATCCGAGCAACTTTCGATCTCATCGAGGGATGACCTACTGAACCCTCATCAGTTTATCTCTATGTCCAGGTACATTGGGTTTTCCAACTCGATTGGCCTAGCACGTCAAGCTAAGTTAGAGTATCGACCTAGTATGATTCACATAACTTCAATACAAAGAGAACTATATGGCTAAGCTGCCATCTAAAACATACAATAAAAAAGAAGTTTCTACAAGAAGTACAAGGCTCCAACCGCTAGCCGCGATCACTAAACTGCCCGTCCACAACTCACGAGCAATCACTCTACATAGATGCAAGTTAAAAGAGTGAGCTATAAAGCCCAGTAAGTAGATTAAGGTGCCATGCATTCCTGCCTACACACAGTAACTCATAACCATACTCAAGGTTCATGTAAGTCTTATAAACATGAAACCATGTATCACAATTATATTTAGCAATGTACTGTGATTGATTCTTTTCATGTGGAGCAATAACAAATCATATATTATATCATTCAAGCATGTGCATTAAATAAATCAATATAATCAGGCAAACATATATATATATATATATCAAGCATAAGCAATCCTAATATCATCTAGTCCCGAAGTAGAAGCCCTATCCATCAGGCCAAGCCAATCCCATTGCTTAGGATTTCTATCATCACTCAGGAGGAAAAACACCATAAATGGATGACCCATTTTATAATGCCTTCACACACACAGTCCCCAACTTGCTTTGGGGTTTTTGATATGTGAAGCCCTTGTAAGACACGACCCTTAGTTGTTCTCTAGCTGGAGGTGTTACATCACCAACGGATGACCTATTGCATAGTGCCATACACATATATTGGGGGGCACGACCCTCCCATGTGACTCACATCCTAACTCCCGTCCTATTATGGAGAGTCAATGAAAGATCTCAACTGCCGATACAACTTTCTTATCATTCACATTATACTACCAACAGATGACCCGTTGCGTAGTGCCTCATACCATATTCTTATCATATCATATTACACTACCAATGGATGACTCATTGCATAGTGCTTCACAAATTTATTATCATATCATCTTTCACTACCAATGGATGACCTATTGTATAGTGCCTTACACATATTTCTTATCATATCATCTTACACTACCAATAAATGACACATTGCATAGTGCCTTATACATATTTCTTATCATATCATCTTACACTACCAATGGATCACCCATTGCATAGTACCTTATACACATATCATTTCATCACAGAGCTTGCTTTCATATCATACCAGAGCATGTGCAGATCATATCATAACAGAACATGTTTTACTACATGCATCCTTATTATAACCAAGCTTATCTCATTATCATGCATTCATATCATAACTGAGCATGTCTTACTATATGCAGTCCTATCATAACTGAGCATATCTCAATATCGTGCATTCATATCATAACTGAGCATGTCTTACTACATTCATTCATATCAAAACAAAGCATATATCATTATCATGCATTCATATCATAACTGAGCATGTCTTACTACATGCATTCGTAACATAACATAGCATATCTCATTATCATGCATTCATATCATAACTAAGCATGCTTTACTACATGCATTCGTATCATAACAGAGCATATCTAATTATCATGCATTCATATCATAACTAAGCATGCTTTACCACATGCATTCGTATCATAACAGAACATATCTCATTATGATGCATTTATATCATAGCTTAGCATGTCTTACTTCATGCATTCATATCATAACAGAGAATATCTCATTATCATGCATTCATATCATAAATGAGTATGCCTTACTACATGCATTCATATCATAACAGAACATATCTCATTATCATGCATTCATTTCACATTAGCAATAGATTAACATGCTCACATATCATAACAGATACAGGTTCATATGAAACATCAACATGTCCAAAGCATGCTATGCATATGATCATATCATCAGGCTCATTAACTCAAATATATCAACACGTCATTTTTCTGATTTTTCACAGAGAATACAGTCCACTTTAAGGGCATATCATAAGATAAAAATATCATTTAGATCTGAGACTACTTTTATAATAATCTAGGCTTATGAAAACACATCTTTCGTGAATGGGGCAATCCCAAATTTTGGGTTAAAGTTTGTCAAACTGTTTGATGTTCTTGAACAAAGTTCTTGTTTTCACCGTAGAAAATCCAGGATGACATATTCATAAGAAAACGTGACTTTCAAACCACATGAAATTTAATCATAATTCCAAAACCAAAACATATTTATTTATCTTTCATTTAGAAGTAGTTTGACCTCATTTTGATATGTTTTGTTCAATGAAAAGCTCTACACAAAAATACATAAAATCCCTAAAATTTCATTTCACAAATCTGACATGTTTCAGAAAATGGTAAATAACTTTTAAACCAAAAGGAATATTAACAAGAGGTATTTTCTATGATAAATTAGACTCAATGAGTTACTTTTCCACAAAATTTCATGATCTAAGGAGATATATAGGATCCTCAGACATTTTCTTAAATCGGAGCCACAATTTTGAAAAACAGAGTACATCTAGCAGGATATCAGTAACATACATAAGCTAAGTAAACATGTATAAATCTAAAGCATGAAAACATGGAAATTAGATCCACTTACATGCACCAAAAGAAACTCCAAGGTTCTTTACAATTTTCACCACACATGCCAAGTTCCAAAAGATGAGTCAAGCTCAATGAACTAAGGCTGGGAGGGGTCTCAAAGTCTTAAGGTCTTAAGACTAGAGAGGGAGAATGTGGGTGAGAGAGGGAAGTGAGAAGAGAGAGAGGGAAAATCAATGTGAGAGGTAATAAGGGGAATAAGCAAGGGTGGGAGTAGCATGCACTTGACAAGTGACACAAACGAAGCATGCATGAGGAGAGAGAGGGGGGGTAAGCAAGGGATACATAATCACGGGATGGTAGCATGCATGTACCACATGGCACTAATGCATGAAGATAGAGGGCATGTGAGAGGAGAGACAGAGCATATGCATGCTCAAGATGTAACAGCCAAAAAAGTTTTGGACCTTACATTTATGTCTTACTATATAAAATGCTTATACACGCTCTCATAATGCTTTTAATGGCCATATAAACCCAACAATTGGAGTAATACTTAACAATTTATTATCTAAACTTTCAATAAATCTAGCATATAAACCCAACAATTGGAGTAATACTTGACAATTTATAATCTAAACTTTTAATAAATCTAACAATAATGCTTACTGATGCTTACTCTGTTGTCACAACACAAAACCTATGATAGATTTATTGGGAGCATAAAATGAAACAACAACAATAATATTAAATACAAGAACTACATTACTAAATAACAAGAACTATAAAGTAAAGTATAAGATTATTGTTTTAAAAAAATAGAATCTTAGTTAACTAAAACAAAACATAAAGACACAAATATATAAAAATAGTGGTCTATCTAAAATGCTACATTATATACATCAATAAAATAAAAATAAAAATATTTAAACTTCTCTAAGTATAAAGAAAACAACAAAATGCTTAAACAAATTCGAATCTCACAATGAATTTCTAGCAGCCTAAATCTTTAGTCACAGTTAATCTCTCTCTTGCTCTTTATAAGGATGCTAAGGGTTAAAAAACAACAGATTTTTTATTGGATATACTATTCTTTTGATATCTTATTTTTTAGAAAATATATTGCATCTATATTTTTATAATTTTTTTAAAGAAAACTTATTGGTGACATTTTGAAGGAATTTTTAGAGAAGAATTCAATTAATTTTCTCTTAGTGTTAATGTATTTTTTTTTAAACCAAAATTTAATTATATTAAATTAATAAAGAAATAAAGTTTAAGAGAAAGAACTTTTTTTTGAAAAGCTTTTTTAGAAAAAAGTAAAGGTGTAGTTTGCATATAGATGCAGCCGTAGCT